CTGTTGCTAGCGGCTCTTTGTCCAACCATCAAACCCTAGGGGAGCGGTGGCGATGTGGTGGCTATGGTGGTGGAGAAAGACTGGATATCAAAACGAATGCAACGATAGCCAGAGTATTAGTGCGGTGCTGTTGTTACTCGAGGGAAAATTAGGAAATTGGACGGCTTGAAGCTCTATGGCCGAGGAGCTTGTCTCCGCCGGAGCCCCATCGGGAAAAAGGACTTTATGGTGTCGGCTATGGCGTCGAATTCCAGAGACAGCGGCATAAATCTGTTGATTCATAATTTGGAACATCATGTTTCATAAAAAGAATGTGACTTTTGAATGATTTTGAGGATTAAAATTGGCAGATTTTCCAAAAACAATCTTGATATGAACGGTGATGGTATGAAATGGTAATGAATAATTTTTTAAGAATGTGGATATATGCAAAGTTAAGATAAGGGCGTAGCCTGAAAAATCTTCCCATAAAAATCTACTCTACTGTTTCTTTTAAAATTTATAAAAATAAAAACAAAAAAGTTACTAAAAATAGTAGGTAATTAATACTGACTAAAATTTAAATAAAGTTTGACTTACTATTTTTAAAAAATGGTAAATCTGTTTATATATACTAGTGTGCATCCCGTGCGATGCACGACGGGATTATTTCTTATTTTTTTTAAATTTTATTTTAATATATTAGCTTGCTAATCGTTTATATTAATAAATAATATTTCAATATCTATATTTTTGTTCATCATATATAATACTCAACTATCATTTTTTTTTAATTTATTGTATAATGTCATTGTTATTATTATATATAACACTTATTCGTTATATATATATAACGATAAATATTTAATATACATTAATATTGTTTAATTATGTAACTAATTTAAAAATATTTAAACAAATTCAAAATAATTATTGTGCCATATATGGTAGATGATTTTTATGAACACCAAAATGGTATTCAAATCTATTGGAGTAAATAACAAATCTAAATATTAATCACAATTTAGAGTAGAAAATTAAATTTGACTAATATTTAAAAATATATTAAAATTTGATGAGTGAACACAGATTACCCAAGTTTATTAGTTGGAGAAAAATGCAATGTTAAACAAAAAAAATTAGACTATTATTCCAAAACAAATATAATGAAATTCCAAGATTCCCGTACAACTTCTCTCACTATCCTTTTCTTTTTGGAATTTAGAACATGATAAAAAAAATTCAGAATTTTAACTTTCCCAAATAAAATTCAATCGCTTCTCTTTTCGAAAAAAGCAAGGAAATCAAAAGCAATCGAATCCAGGTGATAGATAAAAATCTACAAACATTTACTGGAACATCCACAAACACACACATAGACGGACGTGTATACGGAAACAGTAATAAGCTTTTATTTTTTACCACCAATGACATCATCAACGCGAAACCCGATGACAAATTCGAAGATGGTGTTGATGTAAATGATCGGAAAAGTGGGCTCCAACGCATCTAACACGACGATCGTCGTCAACAGCGGCGCCCGAGAGTAGAATAGTCGTTCTGCCGCACGTGAAGCCACTTCAGCCCAATGTCCTGGTCCATGTCTTCGGCTTCATCGCTGCACTTGAACCGCTTGCGAAGCAGGTGACCTGGTTGCTCTTCGCCTTCGCTTGCTTCAATGATGAAGAGAAAAATGAAAGACCAAGTGAAATAATGTTTAGTTTTTTAAAGATAATGATTGTATCACAAATAATTTGAACGTGATACTTGATCTTTTGGAATATTTACACGATCATAAGAAAAATATGGATTGGAATAAAAATCGGAAAATTTACCAAAATAAAACGTGAAAAAAAAAAGCGAGTGAATTAAAAATGTACCAAATCGGATTTAAAGAAAAAGGTAACAAATCTCATCTCATCTCATCCTAAAGAAAAGGAGTTATAACAAATTAACAAAAAACAACCAAATCTCATCCTAAAATAAAACAATCCAATTTCCTTAAATCACATTCAAAATCAAAGGAAAAAGAATTGAAAAAATCATTTAGAATTTCGAAATGTTTTGGAGGGAAATATATTTTCCAAAAACTTATTTTTTTTTAACTCTATTTTATAATAGTAGATATAGATCTGCATATGTTATTGTTTTGGACAAAATGCAACTTAAAATATATATAAAACAATTAAAGTTAGATTTGTTACGGCCATAAATCTGGTTTTGGTCTAATATGGTCATATGGTGGCGCATGTGGCAGACTGGCAAGTCATAAAGTAGCAAAACAACACCTTTTTGAAAATATATTTTTGGCAAATCCTCTCATAGCCCAAGGCACATGCACGAAGCAGCCACCCTGCTTCAATAAACATTCATTATTTTTTATTATTTATTTACATCATGAATGAATTTGAAGTAACGAACATGGGCTGATTCAAGTGATAAGCAGTTTGATGTCGCTTAAGCAAAGTCTCGGGTTCGAATCATTGTGGATGCAGAAAACCCTTGTTGTGAGACTCACCCACCGCTGACAGGTGTGTGATCCGGGTTGACTAACAGATTAGTCGAGGCATAGCTCCGGATACCGTGGCTGGCTAAAAAAAAAATATATATTTTTAAAGTATCTCAACCTAAAGATTCCTAATGGGTTTGAATTTTTTTCAAAACTCAAGAAAATAAAAGACAAAAGAAAAAGAAAAAATAAAATTAGATACTCATTAGAAGAGATTCCATATTATGTGCATCTCCTCTTAAGGAAGTCATATTTTGTGTGTGCATGTGTATGTCAATATGTGTGTGAGCCTAAATGAGTACATAATAAGTATATAAAACATGGCCAAGTAGTTCAAAAATTTCAGTTAAATAAAAAAATAGAGTTAGTTGGATAGTTGCTCCCCAAGTTCCCTATTACCTGGATCTCACAGACTGTCTATATTGATTATAAATAATATATTTTTTTTTTTTGAATATTCTGTATAT